TATAATATTTCACGCATGATGATGCGCATGATGTATGTCATTTTATTCTTGTTATTCATATTAAAAAAAGATAAAATAAAGTATAAGTTGAAAGTAATAAGGAGATCTGTGTCAACCAATCAAATTTTGAGCTCATTTGCAGAAATTCACATGACTCATTCACACTGCAAATGAATTGAATTTCTGATTGGTCAAGATTTCAGATCACGTGACGGGACCTCCGCCAATATGCGCAATGGGTCACCTTTCTAATTCCGCACTATGAATGCATATATGAATGAGTATATGAAACGAAAGTGAGGTTATCTTGAGTCTTATATCGTGTCGTAAGTGAAAATTACGATCAAGTTTTAAGAAATGGAGCAAGCACTGTGAGTAATAACGAGCTCCTTTTACACGCAATCCGTAATTATAAGTTCGATCATGCAGTCGGAGTTGAACAAGTCGGGTCTTAGCGCGCGCGCGCGCGCGCGTGTGTGTGTGTGTGTGTACACACACAACGCGAAAAATACTATAGGTATGTAATTGAATCATTGATAAAAGTATACCAATCGACACAGTTTTTTGTGAAATAAATAAATCAAGTAGAAGAAAATGTCGCTCGGCTATATCAAATTAAGGTAATTGTTTACTTTAGCCACGCCATCTCAGAAATCGATGAAATTAGGCTCCCTCAACGCGCGTGTGTGTGTACTTTGACACTAAGAAATGTTAAATATCAATTAACACAAACTATTTAAACAACATAACCGCATTATATTATATTAACACTCAAAAATATGTTACAAAATCTAACACAAAGACTTAAGAGTGGACTGTTTCCAACATAAATACGAAATGCTTTTTAATATGAATATATTGAATATATTGTTAGAAAAATTATATTTCAATGTTCAATACTACATGCAATATTTTCATCTTCGATTCTTAAGCGTAATTAATCTACGCAGATTTCAAATTAATCTCAAATTTAATTTTAAAATAAATAATAGAAGTATACTTGCTTTTAGAGAGTTAAAGTAGAAAAAATTTGCACAAAATTAATTAAATATAACCATATATTTTCTAAAAAACTAATAAAAAAATAAATAAATTTTGAATTATTTAAGTAAACAACTAGAACCTGAAGAAAAATCGATTTGATACTGCTAAGTTCACATTGATACATACCTAGTTGATTCGTGTGGTGCATATTGTATGTGGTAGTACCATAGTCCAGGGCCATATGCCACACTCTAAGTAGTATATATTCACTGAGATATGTAATATTCACTGCGGAGCACCATCCAGATTTCTTTTATTTAACACTCGCAAATGTAGACACCGCGATTATCTTTTCGCCACAAGACGTAGATGCACGTTTCCGAAAGATTAATTATTTACAAACATCACTCTTGTCTTATCAGCAAGATTTTCTCCGCGTTTGTCGCTCTATCGCTCTTTTCACGCATCCAAGAGATGATCTAGAAAGAAAATAAAGAAGAATCATCAATTCATCTGTGACTTATAACAAATCAACGAATATTGTACATAAGCAAAAGATTTTGATAATTATTACAGAGCAGTAAGATCTGCTTTATTGATTATAATATTGTACAATTATGTTTTTTGCTATGATTGCTTCGACTGTTTAACAAAACATTTAGAAAAAAAGAGAAAGCGATTTTTAAGATATATACTCTATGGCTCGTATTCATGTTTTTATCGATATAAATTCGCGTTTCTGGTGTGTGTGTGTATGTGTGTGTGTGTGTGTGTGTGAGAGAGAGAGAGAGAGAGAGAGAGAGAGAGAAATTCAGTTATTTATTTCTGAAATCCATAGTGTATATAACGTGAACTATACGCTAAATGCGTGCTAATATTGTTATAACCGTGTTCTGAATACGAGCCTGTATTCTCTATGCTCTCTCTATATGGTTGATATTTTTTGTTTTGTATTCTATTACAAAAAGCCTCCAGAATTATAAACTTGAGATAACACACATATTCATGTAATACAGTTTGCTTTCTTTTCTTTAAAACAAGAAATTTTATTAATACAATATTTCTGGCAATTTAGTATAAAAATACTTGAGTTTATTTAAATGGCACAAAGTGCGTGATAATTAAAAATAGCAGATCTCGAAAATTTCTTAATTTAATCTACTTGAGATACTTTTTATAATGCAACGAATGTTTTACGTTTTGAATCTTTTATAATTTTACGTAGAATTTACAATTATCAATTAAAATTTGTGAATTAACATAAAAAAAAATTTTGCTATTCAGACATTTTTTCTTAAAATTAGTCATTCTTAATTTTTCCAGTGCTATAAAAGTGTGAACACAGCAAAATGGCATACTGTAGACAACTGAACGCACCTACTGAATCAATATTTACGTACGCTATAAACATATGTTTACATATTCTTAATAATTAATGAAGTATTAAAAATACAAAAAAAAACTAAAATATATCACACATAAGCAGTAGAGTGTGTGTGTGTGTGTGTGTGTGTGTGTGTGTGTGTGTGTGTATTCCGCATATGATACATTCATCAAAAATATTCAGAGCTGATAAAGTCAAATTATGATAATTACACAAATTAAAACAACAAAAACTTTCTGCTTTTTTTTGTAACTGATTGATTTATGCGAAATACTTATATCTATATAAAATTCAATCGTTGCTTTATTTTCTTAATTAAAGTACTTTTTAGTTAAATATTTTAAATATTACTCGTAATATGAGTCAAGTAACATTGTTTTAAAGATTTTTTAATTTTCTTTACAATTATCTTTTGTTTTAATGAGCATTCTTGAAAAATTACATTTGAAAGTCCACAGTATTAAACAGTGACTCACAACCCTAACATAGTCTTCGCAACAGTTTTTACAAGATCTTATAAATTAGTCATTTTGTCATTCATTAAAAATCATATTGAGATCAAGCTCAATATGTTTAAATATTTAAACGATAAATACTGTTAGTTTCATTGTGTCTGTTTCATATAGGGACTTGGAAAAATTATATTATGGATTAAAATTTCGGCCTAATTATCATTATGGTGCGAGACTATCCAATTTTCAATACAGGTATATAATTATCGCAAAACCGAAACCGAAAAAGACCGAAAAGGACTGAAATTTAAACGAACTCGGTAACCATTACAGTAAAAGAACTAACATAAAAAATTTAACCTTAGATTAAGTAATCCGGACCGAAATTTTTCAATCCGAGACTCTGGTTTTATATAATATTAGAGATTTGTTCGCGTCTAATGCTTTAACATGCTTCAACATGCTCCTACTTACTCCAACGCGCTCGTCGGAGTGAGTAGAAACTATCGTAGGAGCTTATTAAAGTATGTTGGAGCATGTGACGCGACAAACATAATACATATCGTAAAAATAGTTCATAATATAAGTTATATTATGCATGGAAGAAAACCTATGCAATGACAGACGACATAACGATATCGAATTGTCGTTAAGAATAACAGAATCAAGGTACTGAATAGCCTTTGAAGAGTTCTATAAAAAAAATCTTAATGAAAGAAATTGCATTAAACTAATATTTTCCAAGTTGCGATTATTTTTTAAATACTAGTTTTTGGATATTCAATCCTATTTTTTACTTCCTCAATCGAAACTATTTCTAAAATGTATCAAAAACCCGCGAGAATTGTTTAAAATTTAACCAAAACTCTAATAAAAAAAGATTTTGTTTAAAAAATGAGAAGTTAAACCTCCATATCGCATTTTCATGCCTTCAATTGGCCGGAACTGTTGTCTAAAACTATCAAAAACTCTAAAACTATGAAAAAATTATGTAAAATTTTGAAAAAATTAATTTTTTTAATAATGGAGGATTAGCTTCGCAGGGGTTCGAAAATCAAGTCTCTACGGTCTCCCTCAGTATATGTATCCGTAATAGAACACTACATTCAATACAGGAAGGGTGTACATGGAGTGATTCAGAACAATCATTTGTCCTTGAAATAGCATATTCCTGGCTTAATTTTAAAACAATTTTTCCTTCACCAAAATTTTATCTAAAGTTTAATTTTTAAATTATAAGAAAAAATAGTTAGCGAATTATGGGACATATACAGAAGGTAAGCAGGGACGGCGCAAGTCATTATCCGTCGTGAGCGATTATGCGGGACGCTAGCTACAATCAGCTGCTATATTATACGCAATAACGCATATACACATACACGAGAAAGAGAGAGAGAGAGAGAGAGAGAGAGAGAGAGAGACATTCATTCATTCTCTCATTCACTCACTTACTCATTCAACTCACTCTTGATACCATATTATGATATCTGATTCGATGTTTTTGTACTGCTATAGTTTGGAAAAGACAGATAAATAATTTCTTTAGGACTGATATAGCAATGAGGTGACACATTTCCACATGACAAATCACACGGAGTGATAAACTAAAATTTTTTTCTTCCATAAAATGTATTAGCATATATCAATTAGGTATCAATATATTGTACATATATATATATATATATATTCAAAGATTTAGTCATGCAATTTATTTTCGAACTAATCTATCGGTTGGTTACTAATTAATCTATCTGTGAAAACTTTTTCCTTCTCTTATAAATTGCAACACTTTCATTCACACACGCGGATTTACTCATGCATTTAATTGCTAAAATTTCGTACTTACGCATTTGCGAACAAATCTATCATCACTTTCAATCGTTACCTCAATTTTTATCATTTGGTGGCTTTAAATTAATTTGAAGAAAAACTCGCGTTATAGCACACGTTACTTGGCGGACTTTTTTCAACAACTTGAATAAGTAGTCAATAGGATTATGTTGGTATTAGCGCTATCGAAAGTGACGCACTTTCACTCGATAGCGTTAGTACTAATGTAACCCTATTGATTACTTATTCAGCTTGTTGTCATCAAAAAGTCTCCGAATGAAGATAATGAGTAAGTAAGTGAATGAGAAAGTGAATGAGTGTACATATGAGTCTCTCTCTCTCTCTCTCTCTCTCTCTCTCTCTCTCTCTCTCTCTCTCTCTCTTTCTCGTGTATGTGCATATGCGTCATCGCGTATAATATAGCAGCTAATTGTAGCGAGCATCCCGCATAATCGCCCACGGCGGACGATGACTTGTGCCGTTCCTGTTACCTTCTGTACGCGTGCCGTAATTCACTATTTTTTCTTATAATTTAAACACTAATTGTAAGGGCCTGCGCACAAATCACAATAGAACAAATATTAGGGGAGCAGGAATAAATATTAAGATTTCCACCTAGCCATGATACCAGTTACATTGAAATACGCGGTTTCTGATCAATTGAAATCTTAATATTTATTCCTATTCGTAATATTTTTTCCATTGAGCGCAAAACCTAAGCCTTCAGATAAAATTTTGATAAAAGAAAAATTGTCTTCGAAATAAGTCAGGAATACGATGTTTCAACGATAAATGATCATTTCAAATTACCCTGTATATACATTCTCTCTCTCTCTCTCTCTCTCTCTCTCTCTCTCTCTCTCTCTCTCTCTCGAAAAAGCGACTATTTATCTATCCACTCACTGAAAGTCTATTTCTCTCGTTGAATAGCTGCCAAGAATCTAAATTCGACGTTGCCACGCCTCCCAGACTTATGTGCCAGTATATAGCAATAAAGGCACACACGGAAATTCGCGTCGCGATTAAAGCGATTAAGTCAATCATCACCGCGACAATAAGTCGCATTCACTTAATAGATCATAACTGTACAACGTGAAATACTTTGTATCATTATTATTAAAACAGAGAAGAATGTAAAAGAGCCATAACTGATAACATAAATAAATATTTTTTTTACTTATTAATTAATGTTATTATAATAACAGAAAATATTATATATATTCTGTAAGATATAATAAAATAATGTTTATTATTTTATCATAATATTATGATAAAATATAATGTTATTTTATTCGCAACTTTGATTATATTATTTTAAATTAAAATACGATATATATAAAATAAGGAATCTGATAAGAAAGATACAAATAAAAAATAAGAATATTATGTGCAATTGATTAATCAGAATGTATTTAAATGCGTAAAAAAAATTAATTGTTAAGCTAATTTCATAATTTGTTACAATTTCTCTTTTGTACCCGCCTTTAAATTTTTTTACTGTATTTTTCACCGAATTAAGCTCCGGTCAGCAAGCGTGTATCAGCTATGCGACGAACCGAAAGAAAGGCAAGGGAAAAATTGATGAGGCTGAAAAAAAAGAGAGGGCTCTTCAGTCATTAGCTATATCAACTCCTACACTTTTTTCGCCTTCGCACACACCACTATTTTCACGATTCCGTGCAAAATTTGCTGCCATTTTGCACATTACATCGCCACTTTTATGTCTATATTTGTCGTTCATATCTATATGCGTATACGTGCGCGTCCACGTGTTACACGTATTCACACACATACATATTCACCTGCGGAACGA